GCTCTTCCTACTTAGTGGGTTTCCCTTCCCCACCCTTGTCTTATCTACTGGACCTAGAACAACCAGGAGATGGTGAAGACATGCCCACAGCATGGGAGCCTCCCTTCTCCAAAATTCCCAATATCAGACTTAGACACCATGGATATAATATCAGCTGCACAGACAAAGAAAGATGCCTTTCTTTTCAAATAAATGGGAATCAAGAATCAAGGTATTGGGCCCCTATAGAGTTGGGACTGATTCTCTATATAAATTCAGGGCCATATCCTTAACAGAAGGGTAGACCTGTGGATTAGACTGGTAAGACCGCTTTGATAAAAGGCCATGTACTGGGTAGCTGATAACAACAGAAACTTCTTGCCCAAAGTCCTACAAGTTGAACATCCAAGAAACTGATAGCAGCTTTGGGGTCTGTGAAGGGTCCGTTCCTTGGTTTATAGATGGCACCTTCTTGCTGTGTCCTCACATGGTGAAAAGGGCAAGAAATCTTTTTCCTTTAGAATAATCCCATTCATGAGGGGCCAAATCAATTCCCAAAGGCTTCAGCTCCTAACTCTATCACACTGTTAAGTGTTTGAGTTTTTTGGTACTGGGAATTGAACTCAGGGTACTCGATCACTGAGCCACATCCCCAGCCCTATTTTATTTGGAGACAGGGTCTCACTGAGTTGCTCAGTGCCTTGCTATGGCTGAGGATGACTTTGAACTCCCGAGCCACTGGGATCACAGGCATGCTCCATGCGCCTGGCTGCTAATTAGTTTTCAATGCACGAACTTGGAGGATGCAGACATTCAGAACAAACCAGCAAGGAACTTACTGAACTGCTAGAAAAGCTTCAGAATAAGGAAACTTAAACTTGTCTTTGAGCTTTGACAGGGATGGGGGATGGGGAAAGAGAAGAAGAAATAGAGACCTCAATTCCTTGTGGTTAAAATTTACACAAGAAGATTTTTCATGGAAACCTCATACTTGGGCAGCTAAGTAGTCTAAGACTGCTATATCTCAGGGCATTAGTAGAAACAGCTTGAAATTTGAGCTAGAAAGACACCCCCAACTAACTTTCCAAGTATTTCCACAGATAAAACCTGAAATATGAAAAGACAACCAAATACATGAAACAGGACAAAAGAGTCCACCATGAGTGAGAATAAAGAAAATATTGAAAAATTCAGAATTTGACTACAAAAAAGAGATAATGAAACTAGAATTATTAGATAAACACCATACTGTATTCCACCAAAAATATGCTGTCATTTATTAGAACATGTATCAATTTAAAAAGTTCTAAGAAAATAGTGGCAATTATGTTATGGTACATTAAAAAACTTTTTACAATTCAGTAAACTACATAATCCAGCTCAACTTCTGATATTTAAGAGCTCTGCAGGAGGGGCTGCCGGGGAGGTGGGAATCTCTGAAGGCCCATGTCCTGCCGTGCACACTGCACACTGCCCCCTGCTCCTCTCTCCCCTTCCCTCCCTCTCGATGTCATGGGGAACACAGTGGCTGAAGTGCAACAGACATGACCAGGACACGCAGGTGGAGGATGGAGGACGTCCTAAAGAGCCTCCCTGTAACTGCCTACCCCTGCACTGCACTGTGAGGAAGCACATACTGGCTTTCTTAAAGCTGCCATTTCAGAGCCTTTTTATTGGGGGGTGGGCAGGTACTGGGGATTGAACTCAGGGACACCTGACCATTGAGCCACATCCTCAGTCCTATTTGTATTTCATTTAGGGAAAGGGTCTCACTGAGATGCTTAGCGCCTTGCTTTTGCTGAGGCTGGCTTTGACATTTCTTTCGAATGCAGAAGCAAGAGAACTTGACTATGAAAAGAAATACGCTTGTCTGTAGAAAAGTCAAGTGAATCTATAGTCACATTTTTAGAAATGATTAAAGTGTTCAGCAACTAAATAAACGTAACTCCAATACAAATTATGATGGAATTACCGATTCTAAAATTTATGACGAAAAGTGAGAAGCCAGGAATAGTCATGAAAATTCTGAAGAAGAAGGCTGGAGACTCATTCCCATTCCATACCTATTGTAAAGCCCAGGAACCAGGGCAGTGTGGCATCAGAGCAGCAATATGTAAACCAAGGGAAGACAGCAGAGGTCCAAGAAACACCCACACATGTGAAAATCTTTGGAGAAAGGATGATAAATGATTCTAGGGAATTTACAATCAGGAAGACAAAAATATGGATTCCTATCTCATATCATGCACAGAAATGAATTTCAAGTGAAACAAATTCCTAAAACTAAACCTTAAAAACCAAATTGAAAGTACCTTCACAACCATGGAGAAATAGAGATGGCTTCAGACATAAATGTTACCAACATTAAGGACAAAGATTTAAAAATTTCTCTGCATTTAACTCTTATAACCTTTCTTCTCATAAAAACAAAGAGAAATTTCTAGAAATCAATAGCCCAGGCGAAAGAACGCAGCAATCCACATAAGTGGATTCACCATGGCTAATGACTACATAAAGCTGCTGACCCTCGCCAGCTGGGATCATAAGGAAAAATTAGTTAGGGTCTGACGGGTAGAAATGAGTCTGACAATACCAAGAACTGGTAAGGATGTGGGGCAGGGGACCCTGGTGCCCCCGGGGGTGAGTGTGTCCTGGCACACCCACTGGGCAGGGTAATGTGGTGCATCTAGTAGAGGTAACAGTGCAGCATGGAAGAGGCAGCTCTTTTATTCCCAAGTGTTTACATCCCAAAGACACTCCTGCACAAGACGCAAGTCAATGAACGTCCATAGCATGCTACCAGGAACTAAAACGCTGTAACTATAATCCGCTTTGATAACACTGGGAACATTTCTCTTCTGGGAGATGGGACATGGGCAGCTTTCATACTTTTTTCTTTTAAGTCAGAATGTCATGTGAGATATTACAAGTTGGTAACAAATCAGATCATTTTTGGAACTTGTGGCATCAGATTTTGCAGTGTGTGGCTGGGCAGAGACCAAGCCATGCGGCCACCTGCGGAGGACTCTGACCTGTTTCCCCAGGGCGAATTGCTTACCACTGACCGGAGGAGTGAGGCAGCTCCTGACTAAGCGCCTGCAGACTTTTCCCCCTCTCCGAGCCCCAGCCCACTCCATGGCTGTGACAGACAATCTAACATTGACCTCAGGGCTCTTTTCCCACATGGAGGGAGCTGAGAGACTCAGGAGCCCTCTGAACAAAATCTATTCACTCTTCTTCAGGTCAACATGATGTCATTCACAATTATTTTTATTATCTTTCATGAGTTAAAAGAACCCTAAAATAAGAATTTTCCCACGGATAATTGATGGAACAAACTATTTGCACTCTATTTCTCTATTTCTCGCAACATCCTTGAAGTTGCTTTTAATATATTTTCATAAACATGTAGATAAAAAATAATTATTTCAAAAGTCAAAGCAATCTGTAACTACACGAACAAATAACAACATATTGCATTTAGACAGGATTAAAAATTATCCCGTAGGAAGGTTAAGAGTCCTACCCTCATCCTGCCCAAGGCCCCCCTTCCAGAGAAAGCTGGTTTACAGAATTGGGATGTTTGAAAGAGCACAGAAGAGTCCCCCCTCCTCTTCTGGCCCTTTCCTGTCTCTGTAGGCCCAGGAAGCTGGGCGGCTGCCCCCCTCGCTCCTGTAGCACTAGCCACGCAGGGGGAAGGAAGTTCCCCACTGTCAAGGTGGGGTCCTTGGAAATAATGGGAATTTTTAAGAGTAAAACTGTTGTTTTAGGCTGGAATGCTTTCAAAAAAGCTTCTAATGGAAGCTCATGTCAGTTTCCTTGGAGAGCTTCAAAGCCTGTCACCTGTCTCTGAGCACAAGAGGAGACCTGCTGGAGCCGGCCTTTCAAATTCTGATGAGCTCTCCAGACATGTTTTCCAAAATATCTCTGGCCTTTCCTAATTGTTTCAGCAGTAACTGATAAAAAGATTTTTGTAAAGTCTATCTTCCAAATATTTATTTCCTTGTAGAAATCTAAGAGTTTCCCATACTTCAAAAGAATGACATGGTTCCATACTTTACATGTACAACCTTAGAGATAACTGGTTAATCAAGGGACGCACGCCTGCTTTGTCTTTCAGTCAGACCTCTTTGATTAAATTACTGTTATTCTTAATGGCTAGAATGGACTTGTTTCTCAATGCCTGGTGGTTTCCTTTGGAATCAGGATTTAGTTCATATGCAGATCCCCCTCATTTTTTTTGTTCGTTTAAAATCTGACACTTTTTATATAACTAAAAGCTAATACAGTAGGTGATTGTTGGACAACATCTTAAAATTTAATAAGGGCAGCTATCATAGATTGTGATATCTCAAAAGTTCGACTATGAAAATAACTTGCTATTTTAGTTAGAGCAACTACTTCTAAAAAGCCAAGTTGGTTTCATGGGCATAAAACCATGAAGAAAGTTGGGCAAAAAGTCCTTAGAGATGACACCAAAAGAACGATCCATAAAGAAACTTGGACTTTATCACATTAAGTTAACAAATTTAGTTAATTAATCTTCAGAAATAAAAATATAGGCCAAGCACTCTTAGAAAATATTTGCAAGTCACACATCTGATAAAGGACTCAATTCTAAAATACACAAAGGATTTACAACTCAGTGCAAAGCAGAGTAATCTAATTAATAGCTGATCAAAAGACCTGGATAGGAGTTTCTCTAAGGAAAGTATATAAAAGTCCCATAAGGACAAGAAAGGAAATTTGATGACATTAGTCATCAAGGAAATGCAAATCAAAACCCAGTAGGACGCCACCTTCATAGCCACCAAACTAAGCAAAACTAAACAAAAAACAGATAATAACAATTGTTGGTGAGGATGTAAAGAAACTGGAAAGCTTATATATTTCTGGTCACAGACACTTTGCAAAATCATCAGGCAGCTTCTCTGTTAAACAGTGAAATACCTTATGACTCAGAGATTGTAATCCTGGACAGCAGAAAAGAAAACTCCCCTTTATGGAGGGGCTTTACTTACTGAGGTTCCACTTCAGGCCTGTGGTTGTCACATGATCACACGGCTGTCCAACAGGAATGAGGCCGCACCAACTTCCTTCCATCCCGGTGTCCACGTGCAACCTGTGCTTTCCCTGCAGGACAGGAGGGACGGCCATCAAGAAGGGAAGAGAAAGGAAAGAAGCTTAATGTGCACTGTAGATGCGGCTGCAGGCACCCCAACCCTCCCGTGGTTCATCCTGCTTCATATTAACAACACGTGTCGGGTGGAAGCTGACTGACCCTAGAAACTTTCACCTGGATTAATCCTAACAAGAATTTTTTCAAAAGAGCTTGTTACATACATGAGGACCCCCGATGGGAACTGGAGGCATCAACTCTGAAAAGGAAGAGGAAGGGGTTTGCAGGCCAAGACCACCGGGGAGATGCCAGCGTTGTGTCAGATGTCCACTTAAGGTGACTGAGGTGGCAAGGATGGGTAGAAGACAGGGCAGTGTTGGGCCAGTGAGACCATCTGTGTGAAACCCTAATGGTGAACACTGACATAATTCATTGGTCAAGAGCCACAGGAGTACCGTGCCGCAGGGTGAATGTTAATGTCAACTATGGCTTTGGTTAATACTGACATATCAATCTGAGTCCATCCCTGGTAACAAATGAGCCAAGATAATGGGGGCAGGGAGGAAAACTGTGTCTCATCTGCTCAGTTTTCTGTAAACCTAAAAACTGAAGTCTACTAATTTAAAAAAATGTCTCACAATGACCATTTCTCACCCTTATACAGGACCAACAGCAATGAGGTCTGTACCTACAGGAGATACAGCACCACCCAAAAAGAACACGCAGCCACTTCTTGGCAGCTGGTACAACCTCTCCTGCCTTTTCCCTCTGGGGAACAGTTTTATTTCATGCCAGGCGTGAGTCCTTACTGTTTGCATGGAGGTCTCCTCTAAACTGATGTCGGCTGAACAGTTCACCATGTAAACCTGAGTTTTGTTTCTGCTGACCATCCTCCACCCTAGCAGTACTTCTCTCCGAAGATACAAATACTGAATGCTTTACAAGTGATCCTCCCTCCATGCCAATCGGAGCATGCGTGAACCCATTCTCAGGAGTGATAAAGCCTCCTGACGCTAAAATGTCGTAAGGGCAGGGGGGCTCCTGGAAATTCTGGTTTCCTCAGAATTACTTTGGTTTCTGCAGTAAAGGAATAGGTGCCGAGATGTTTGGGGGAAGGTGGATTCTGGTCCAGTTTCCTGATCAAAGGCTCTCGTCCTAGGGCCCCATGAGAGAACACTATGTTACCAGAGTGGTTCCAGGTAACCCAAGCTTCCTGGGCAGTGGGTGGCCAAATCACAGGGTTCCCTAGCTCTAGAGGGAGGAACGGAGAAGTATGCATGGGCCCAGATCTCTGTGCCTCTGCTGGTGACATCATTTCTGACAATGAGACCTGCTGTCTTCCTTACCAGAGAGGGATTCCTATCTTCCTGGTTTGTCTCAGCTTTGGTGTATTACAGTTCATTCCTGTTTGTTAACTGATGATTGTCTTCCCCCTGTTTTGGATCTGCTTAATAGTGTGGACATGGTTAGCTGAAACACGGGTATGTCTGGTATGTTTGACAAAGGAAAGAAGGAATTATTTTTCATCTGGTGGATATTAATTCCCTAAGAGAAAACTCTTCAGCTTACATCATATAATGCAAAGGAAACAACACATATACATGTTAAGTTTTATTTTCCCAGGGAAAGGAATGGCTGTTATAAAATCGTTGATTTAAATGGTGTAGTAGTAAGCTTTCTTATGTAGCTTTGCTCTGTGCTCACTGCTTTCTTTGTTATTTTAAGAATCAACGGACCTTCAAATTAAGGGAAAAAACTAGTTTGTGGACTTGAGAATTCACAGATAGGTCTTAGCCTATAATCAATTAACTTTTTTTTTCTCTTGTTCCCAAGAGGTGCTTTGCCATCTGTGAATGGTCTTTATATTTATAAATAAGCAAATTTCCCTTTTGTGGTTAGAAGACAGCAGCATTATGTTTTCCTCTTCTATCCTTATGTCTACATGACATTTTTAAAAAGTGAATAACTGTATAAAGGAATTCTGTTTATTCCTTGGATCTCAATTCCTAACAGGTCTAGCCTGTATGTGCCTTGACATAGGCAGGCTGACATTACAGAACTTCCTCAGGATTTATGCCATCACTGAAGACCAGAGGCACATGAACTAATCATCGGCTTCCATCGACTCTCATGAATCATCGCACAGGTTCCTGTTCCATCCTCTGTCCTGAGCTAAGATAACTCTTTAAGTCAAAGGCAGGTCCAATGAGTAAAGAAGGAACAAAAATCAATCACAGCCACTTCGCTTTTCTAGCTGTGATTATTTGAACATATCGAAAAACCTCCATAAGGTATGAAATTCTAATTTAGTAAAAGAAAACAAGACGTGTTCATATGGCACAGGGTCTGGAGATTGTGCTTACGATCATGTTCCTATGTTCCAATTCCAAGCTAGAGCAACAATACATACAAGTGGGTACCTACGAAGGCCTAAGAAATCACTGTCATTTTGTTTTGTGTCACACCTCCTCTTTGCAAACGACTATGACATAACTGAGAAAAAAGATTAAAGCTCACCTACATTTTGCCTTTGAATAATCCCAAACATAGAGGCATATGAATTAATTATATCTGAGTCTTTAAATCCAATAACTATGCTAACATTCATGCCAAGAGTTCTTAGCATGGATCTCACAAAATACATAGCAAATTGATAAAATCATTCACAAGCTCCAAACACAGGGAGAACACAAGGGTACTTCCTACTTAGTGTGGAAGATTCAAGGAGTGGGTGACAATGATAGTTCATAAAGTAGACAGTCATTCATAGAACTGCTTCTAATACTCAACTTATACCTGATTATCTGGCTAATTGCAGCTAAAATTGAAGGAACACACAGTTGTACATGTGGAATGCTGCTGCAGAATTACTCAATACAAGGTTAACCTCGGGAAGTTCATCTCCTCTAAGTTTGCTCAGATGCTTTAAAAATATATCAACAAACACTGCAAGAAATTAAACAGCCTGCAGGACAAAGAGTGAAAGAAGAAGGAGGATCTGCATTCACTTTACCAGAAGAGGTTCCTTCTTGCATACCAAGACAGGCTTGTGCTGGAATGTTTTCACGCTGGGATTGCTCACAGGATGAAAAGCAGTCACAAGAGAAATGGTGGGCCCAATGAACGTGTAGTTATTAAACCTCAGAGCTACAAGATTTGTACATTTTCTTTGATTCTGCTCCATAAATGAAGAATTCAAAATAGAAGCCTGGTGGTTTACCTGAAATACTAATACCTGAAATGTACTAACCAATGCTGCATGTGTTTATATGTAGCATATACACATACATGCTAAGTAGATGCTTGTAAGGAGTGTGTGTGTGTGTGTGTGTGTGTGTGTGTGAAAGAGAGAGAGAGAGAGAGAGAGAGAGAGAGAGAGAGAGAGAGAGAATGATCTCAGTATTTTCTTTTGAAAATGCATTAATATCTTATCTTTAGATAGCTTTTTAGAGTTTCAGATCACGTTAGATAATTTTCCAAAATGCTCTGCACAGAACACTACTGCCAAGGTCAGAGAAGATTGGAAAAACTGCTCCCTGGGTTGTCCTCTTGGAAGTCACAATGTCTGTCAGTGCATCTGTGCTCTAGGTAGTCTTGCAGAAAAAAAAACAAACAAAAACCATTTTCCTGAATGAGTGTTTTGCAGCCTCCCTTGCTGCCGAGCTCCCTGCATCTCTCAAACAGGACCTCATACCTCCGCATGAGAACTGTTCTTCCCTCATGACACCACTTAGGGAAACACTGACTTGGAACAGTAGTAATTCTGCAAAATGATGTTTTGTTTAATATTTTCACAGCCAGAACACTTCAATGATATGTCTTAAAATTAATGAATAACCTACCCTGGATTTTTATTTTGGAAATTGTTGAATATACTCATGCTGAAATCACGGATGCTCTGATACTAGTTTAGACGTGCTCCACTGTTAAGCAATTAATGCTTAATCCTCATTCCAAAGAAAACCTTTTTTTACAGACAGCTAAGTTAAAGTGAAAAATATTTGTGAAATAAACTGCTATTGTTAGATATTAAAATTAGATGTTAAAATATTATCATGACAGGCTGAAATTTTGATTAACCTTCTGACACTGGACTACTTCAAAATAAATTTGATGCAACCAATGTCCATCCTTTGCTCTGTATCACCTCTCTATTTATGCTTTCTTACAGTGTGCTCTGCCCTATCTTTCTGCTTTCCTTTATTCTAGACAGAGAAAATAATCTGCTGAGTGCTCTCACACTAAATTGTCAAAAACTTACACTTGACCCCTCCAAAAGATGCTGACTTTTAAAAGGATGACTTCTAAAGACAGTATTTGTCCCCAAAGTAAGCATTTTTAACAATGGGAACAAGACAAGATATATGTATTTTCAATCAGAATGATCTAAGCATTTTGAAATCACTTCAGATGGATGCTCTTGTCAGCATGGAATAGTATCAGGATGCCCACATCCTCCTATCTATTCCTACTCCACTGCTCCATCCTTAATCTGGAGAAACCCCAAAGCCCAGGGCATGCCCTGCTTCTCCATGACCCTCCCATGTTCCCAGCACAGCACAGGTGATGTACTCCTAACCACTACAATGTTTAATCATTTGTGCCACAAAATGGACCATTTTGCTACTGTGTTGCATCTCTTAGACGGGTTCACATTGTATCTATTATAATAAGATTTCTTTGACAGCAAGGAGCCTTTTTAAAATTCTTTTTGGTTATACATGACAGTGGAAACCATTTTGGTATATTTCTAAAAGAATAAAATACATTTTATTCTAATTAGGGTTCCAGTCTTACAGAGGTATATGATGGTGAGATTCACTGTGGTGTGTTCATACATGAACATAGGAAAATTATGTCGGGTTCATTCCACTGCCTTTCCTATTCCTATCCACCTCCCTTACCTGCATTCCTTATTGCCCTTTGTTTAATCCACTGAACTTCTATTCTCCCTCATCCTTGTTGTGGGTTACCATCCACATATCAGAGAGCATATTTGACCCATGTTTTGGGG